CTGAACTTTTTTTTGTTGGTTAGAGTGCCGGCAGTGCACCTTAAGCGGTGTCTGCCTGGACTCCTGTTGCTTGTATAGTCCTAGTCATATGCCTGAGCCTGCGAAGCTGGACCAGATATGGCCCCTTTCCTAAGGGAGTGGGGGTCACCTTCTAATAGGGGAAGGAATTTAGTCTCACTTCTCTAGGAATCTCTGGAGTATTAGACAAGTCAAAGCAAGGTAATGAGGTACTAACACAACCTCAGAGGACCACTTTGAGTATAAAATCCTTCCATGTGTGTCAGATTGGCAGGGCCAACTTGTCAGTTTCTATTAAGTACAGTAATAGGACTGGGCTTCCTAGGTGTCAGGGAAAGCAGGTCTGGGCTTAAATATCCTTCCACTCTGTCACAAACAGGAGATTGAAACTTAGGTGCTTCCATTCTTATCTGTAACCTCTCCCAGGGTTGTTTTTGAGGATGTAGTGAGTTAATGCATGCCCCCAGCAGCAGTGGAATGGAACTGCTTTGGGGGAACTCCTATGTGTAATACTGCAGGGCTCCCTTAAATGCTTAATGACGTTTCTGTTCTCTTGTAATTCTGTAAGGTCAGGGTTATTCCCACTTTCTAGATGAAGAAACAGGCTTAGAGCTATTGAGGTCAAGGTCACAAAACTGGCATGTGACAGCAGAGATTTAAATATAATTTGGAAGGTGACAGTTTCCACTACACCACACCACACCCAACTGGTAGGGTTATTGTGATCACATGAGTAACAGCTATGAAAGTTACCAGGAGCTATCCTGACATCCAGAAGCCCTTGATCTAGAGGCACATCAGTCTCCTCTGCCGAGAAGGAGAGGATACCACTCCATGCTGTTAACATCTCTTGAGTTTTAAAATGGAGCTTTTACTTCAGAATGACTCTTATTTAAGTGTTCATACATGGATTAATTCGTTTGCTACTGACTACTTCAGATAAATAAGAACTGTGGCAGAGCACCAGGCTCTGAGCTAGGCTAGGCAGGTTTGGGCAATTTCCTAAGTCTTTTATAAGGAGAATTAGATTAAAAAAAAAAAAAAAAAGTTGCCCTGGGTACAGTGATTCATGGGCTGGTTAGTTTGGGTTTTTTGGTTTGTTTTCCTCCTATTCTTTAGGTGCTTTTCTTCTATGGAAAAAATTATGCATGCTTGGAAAGGAAAATTTGTAGCTTAGCTTTTGCTTATCACCTGAACCTTCTCCTGGGAGGCAGAGTGAATTAAAGGGTGGAAAGGCAGTATCTAATCTGGCTCAGTTTTCTGAGAGGCCACCAGCCCCATCCTCGAACAAGTAGGTTTTCACTATAAAGAGGTGTGACTAACCTTCAGAACAAGTGATATTTTAGAAGTAGTTAGACCAAATGTGGTGGCGCATGCCTGTAATCCCAGCACTTTGGGAGGCTAAGGTAGGAGGGTCATTGAGACTAGGAGTTTGAGACAGCTTGGGCAACATAGCAAGACCCCATCTCTACCAAAGAAAAGATTTAAAATCAGCTGGGTATGGTGTCATGTTCCTGTAGTCCTAGCTACTCAGGAGGCTGAGGTAGGATTGCTTGAGCCTAGGAGTTAGGAGTTTGAGCTGCAGTGAGCTATGATCACCATTGCACTACAGCCTGGGTGACAGTGAGACCATGTCTAAAAAAAAAAAAAAAAAAAAAAAAAAGGAAGAGGCAACAGTAGCAAACCCTGTGACCTTGTGGCCAAGCCAGTTCATTGCTATGAAGGAGGTCTGTGCTGAGTCCTTTTGTAAAGTGAAGAGACCCTTTAGAATGCAACGGACTGTGTAGCATAGCAGTTAAGAGCTCTGACTTGAGGTTCAAATGCTAGTTACTGGCTGTGTGAACTTGAGCCATTCATTTGACATCTTTTAACCTCAGTTTTCTCATTTGTAAAACAGAATGGATAGTACTATCTTACAGGATTATTGAAAGGATTAAATGGATTAACTGTGCAGTATTCCTCACACATCTGGTGTATAGTAAATGCACAGTAAACAGCAGCTGCTATTATTTATTGCAAATAATTGCAGCCATTTTAATTTATAGATCTGTGGAATTAGAGAATCACGTTTGAGACTAATTTAATTTAATCTCCATCTTTTACAAATAAGGAAGCTAGTCCAGAGAGGGAAGGGGCTTATCTTAAGTGGCGCTAGTTAGTGCTAGGAGCTGGCCTGAAACCATGAGTCATGTTGCTACTGATACCATATCTACACCCCATGAAGAACTTCTTGTCATTGAAGTTTCTGGGCTGGGTTTTCACTTTCCTCACTGGGGGATGGGGCACATAGAGGTGGAGAGGGGTAGAGTGTCAGAGATTGAGCTAGAAAGCCTTCAGTTTCCATGGGTGATGTTGGGAAGCGACACAGTTACATAGTTACGGGTCTTCTCGTGAAGAGAGATCACCTTCTGGAATTCTACCCCAAAGCCTCACTCTCCTAGACTTGAAATTCTGTTGCTTTTTGAATTCATCTCCAGACTCAAGATGGAGATTTCCTCCAGGGAGGAAATGTGCAAAATGTGCTGGAAAAGGATAGGCTGCACAGGACCTTCCATCTGATTTGTGACGTTTATTTTCTGTCATTGAAAAGTTAAACGGGTGAAAGAGCTGAAGCAAATATGGCAGAGGGTGATCATCGGTACTGTGTGGTAGGGTCATGCCTCTGTGTTTTGCTTTTCTCTGTTTAATTTCTCAAAAAAAAAAATCAGTCACATATTCTGTTATCCAGGCAGTTTAAAGGTAAACTGCCAGTCACATACTTTAGAGCAGTAGTTTATTTTACTTTTTATGTTTCTGGGAAGCATCAACTCTTTGGAGAATCTGATGAAACTAATGATTCTTTTTCTGGGAAAAAAAAAACAAAACTGCTTTTGAAAAATGTTTATGAAGAGCTCTAAGAGCCAATGGGGAATGATTTCCTGCATATATATAGTTTTTTTTTTTTTTTTTTCTAAATAAGAGTATCTAAAGTATTCCTCTCTTCATATAAGAAACAAGGGGATATTAAAAAATTAATGTATTTGCTTATTTGTGTAGAGAAAATACAAGAAAGATAAACTAGAAACTAAAGAGAAATCTGGGGTGGGTTGGAAGAAGGGGACATGAAAATAGCATAATACAGAGAAGAGGAGAGAGAGGTTTTTCTGAGCATACTTTTCTGAGAGTTTTGTCTCTTAGAACTATAATGATAACTCACAAACCCCGAAAGTAAATAAGTAATTTAAAACATAACCAGGACGTGGGGGAACCCCAACTGGAATACAAAAATTTACAAATGAAAATTAGCCAGGCATGGTCACGCATACCTGTAATCCCAGCTACTCCAGAGGCTGAGGCAGGAGAATCATTTGAATGCGGGTGGCGGAGGTTGTAGTAAGCTGAGATCCTGCCACACTGCACTTAAGCCTGGGCTACAGAGCCATTGTCTTAAAAAAAAAAAAAGTGAGTCTGTGTTACAAATGAATAATGTAACTGCACAGAAGAGCACTGTGGAAGAAAAGAACTAAAACTAAAGTAACTGGAACACAGTATTTTGGCTGGATACTATGAAGCTAAAGACAGAACTTTATGCAAATACTGTATGCTGTTAGTACAGGGGTATAGGTTAGAAGTTCGGAAACTGGTATACGAGGACTGAACAAATACAGAAATGCATGGTAGCTAATAAGAGCCGGCTTTCTCCTTCTTTGAGAAAGAAGTTACAAATAAGCAAAGGAGAAAGGTTAGAATGAACCATATGATGTTAGATTGGAATTGAGCTATCAGTATGAACTCGTGGCTTTTTAATAAATATGTTGATAGATACAGAATTAAACATAGATTTGTGTGGGGGGGATTAGTATGCATACCTATATTTTCTAGCTTTGTCTGCTGAGAAGGTCTGGAAGAAATAATACTCCCAACAGCAATGAACTTAACGCCTAGATCCTGGTTTTAGGTACCATTCTGCAATAAAAGCAACCAGGGCTCTTTGGAGAAAGGCTTGATCCCTAGGGTTGGGCAGAGAAAAGACAAGAGGATAGATAGCTTGTGTTGCACAAAGTAAAAATTACTCACAAAAAGTTGGAGGCATGTTGAAAGATCACAAAACTCACCTAAGAAGCCCCCAGTGGCCAAATTTGGAACACTTTGAGCAGCAAAAAACTAATGATAGTATTGGATTATAACCATAGCATAAAATATATCAATTAGTTGTACTGATACAAATAATTGAAGAAGTAAATAAACGGGCAGAAGGAACAGGCAGTGTGTAGACCACTCTGAAAATCATCTTCTGCCCACTTACAGGAAGTCAGCAAACTTCCTGTAAAGGACTAGATAGTAAAGATTTGAGGCCTTATGGATCATGTCTCTGGCCCAACCACTCAGCTCTGCTTTTGTAGTGCAAAAGCAATCATAGACAATACCTAGACAAGTGGGTATGGCTATGTTCCAGTAAAACTGTTTACAAAAGCAAGGGAACTTAGTTTGTTGACCTTGTTCTAGGGAATGCCTCTTTTAGAAGATTAGGTGTCTTTCACTATTTACACGGCAGATCTTGTTGAGTTTTAGGGGTAGGAGGGCTTCAGTTGAGATAGTTGTACCCTGTAGCTCTGACAACATATACTTCTTGGTGCAGTTTAAGAATTGTAGGTTTGGAGAGAGGTGGCTTGTTTTGTCTCTTGTTTGATCTTATTTTGTGTGCATGTTCTATATAGTGGCATGTAGTATCGATTTTGCAATCAGACACAACTGGCATGGAAAACTAGCTTTGTCTTCACTAGCTATAGGACCTTGGACAAGTCACTCAACTCCTCTGAGTCTCTATTTCCTCATATGTAAAATAGTCATATTATTAGCTGCAAGGACAGAATTTTAGATGATCCACTAAGGAAAAGAGATATACTGCGTATGTCTTCTCTAGGGGGATATGAGTGAGTCAGTTTAGGAGTCTGTTGTTGGTCTGGGGTAACAGCCTTAGGACTGTGGTTGTTAACACCTAGGAAGACCTCCGCGTGGATGGCCGTGGCTGTGAGGACTACCGATGTGTCGAAGTGGAAACTGATGTGGTGTCCAACACCAGCGGATCCGCCAGGGTCAAGCTGGTGAGTATTGGACCATGGTTCAAGCCCAGGTGGAGAAACAAGTAGACCCTAAGGAACGATCTGTTGACCACTTCTGGCTTTTGGAATGCAAATTGCTCTTGGGGACATCCAAGATCCAAGCCAGACTCAGGGAGGCGGGGGTCTATCCAGATCTGAAAGACTGCTCACTTCCTCCAAAAGCCACTTTCCAAGTCTTAGCACGGCTCCTAAGAGAGTCCCCCAGGGGTGTATATCTACAAGATGAGGGAGGTGGTGGAGTACCTGGCTGCCTGCCCTGAATGAAGATCCTTCTTGCATGTGTCTGCAGGGTCACACAGACATCTTGGTGGGAGTGAAAGCAGAAATGGGGACGCCGAAGCTGGAGAAACCAAATGAAGGCTACTTGGAGTTCTTTGTTGACTGGTCAGTACTGTCTATGCAGATATTTTTAAAGAAAAATGGTTTTAAAACTGAGGATTCAGAAAATGAACCTCTAGTTTGCTGTTGAACCCACTTTTATACTTATTCAGCCATCCAGCAAGCATTTACTGACCTCCTCCTATGTGCCGAGTACCTAGTCAGGACTCTTGGCTTGCGTCCTGCCCTAGTCTTAGCCACCTGGCGATTGCTGAGCCTTGTTTTTTCTGTCCAATAAAGGAGGACATCTGCCAGGCAGCCTAGCACATGACTGTGATGCGGGTCAAATGAAGTGCAATGTGTGTTACGGTGCTTTGAAAAATATCATACACAGACAGTAAGGATCATTTGGTCTAAATGCCCTGTTTCTCTTCCTGCTCTAGTTCTGCAGAAAATTGTTCATGATTTGGTTGACAGATGAGGCCTAGGGTGAGCCAAGCAGCCTGACAGGCTGAGGAAGTGGCAGCTAGGCAGGCAGTATGGGTGCTGGGAGGAGAGAGGGTTCTGCAGTGTCTGCAGCCAGCCTTGCGCCAGAATGTCACTTCCTTCTCTGGCCAGCTTTGTGATCTCAGGCTGGTTACTCAGTCTCACTGTGGCCAAATTTCTTCATCTAAAAAATGAGGATAATAAATAATACCATGGTGATGAAGAGGAAATGAAAACAGAGTGAATACCTAGCACAGTGACTGACTCCCGATGGGCTTTCAACAAGTGTTATTTCTCCTTGTTAGCTCCACTGTCTAGGGGTTGGGGCATTTTATTGGGTTGCCAGCCAGGTCCCATCTTCCATCAATTACCTTACTTCTGGAAGCCAGGCCTTTTTCAAGTGGGTAAGGATCTCTGGGCTCATGCTAGGTGTAGGTGTATAATGTTGACCCTGTATCAGGATCCCTAAGACCACCCTCATAGTCAGAGATTTGCTAGACTTACCATATAGTGATACTCATAGCTAAGGTTTATTACAGCAATGAAAATGCAGTAACTTATTTGTGATATTTCTGCCCAGGAAAGCCCATTAGAGACTCAGCACCCAAGATATTTACCGAGGGGCTGGTCACGCAAGACACTCCCTGCTTAATACATAATGAAGTTTTCTAAAGGAAAGCAAATAACCATATTATTATGGTATATTAATGCTCAGCATAAACCATATTATTTGCAGTATCTAGGCATAGTGGACTACCCCCATCAGTTTACTATTGACTGAGAATAGTCTGAGAGTCAGGTTCCTGGATACCAGCCAAGGACCAGTCTTACAAACAGACCCTTCTGAAGATGGCAGCTTTGGGCCATAATGGCGGCCTTTTCTGCATAAACGTTAACCCACTTTTGTAGAGTGAGTTACAGTCTTCCAGTCTACACTTCCATATACAGAAGCTGATTCTCACAGCACTCCTGTAAGAGAGATGACAAATGAGTTCTGAGAGTGTAAGTGACTTTCCCAGGGTTACAAAGCTAAAAATGCCAGCTCAGATCTGTCCAACCTGTGAATCTTTGCTCGTTTTACTTCAGGTAGCCTGTGGAAGCCAGCTTTGGAGGGCTGTTCTTGGGAGTCCAAGAACTATCCGTGTTCATTTTTCTGGTTAATTTTTTTCCAGCCTACTCCTGTCCCCTGCTCTGGTCCCCCAAGTCATCTCTCCTGGTTCTGCACATCTCTTACCAGCTTGAGTTGTTCCATGGAAAGGCCCATCTTTTAAGTCACTGTGGATGATGATGACCTTGTTCAGGCCCCCAACTTACCTTTTCCTTTGTCTTTGGAGGAAGCAAAATGCCTCTGCTGACCTTGATCTGCCTAATTCAGTGCAGTAACCAGTCACTGAGGAGCAGACAACGTGTAAGAAGCTTGTAATTTGCTTTCCTTTTCATCTCCTTCATTAACTTCTACCTCATTCGTTTTAGGCAGACCAAAGACATTCAGCTCAACCACACCAAAGAGAGGGTGTTGCCCTCAGATACTTGGTGTGGGGTATACATTTCACTGTGTATAAACCTGGGTCTGTGTCTAAACCTGACTCCAAGTTAGCTTGCTGCTCTTGTCCCTTTCTTGTCCCAGCTGTAAAGGAAGAGTGACTCTAGTGTGAGAGGATCCTTTGAGTTGCCTCTCCCCAAGATCTGGCTTCTAGAAGTAGCCTATCTTTCCTGGCTTAGAGTGGCTGCCTGCTGGTCTCTTTTCTTCCTCTGTGGTCTCAAAAGGATCCCCACAGACCCAAGAGCTCCAGTTTCCAGATAGTTCTCCTGAATCGATTTCTCAAGATAGTCTTAAGGTGGCACACTTTAGCTTCCTTAAGTGGCTCAGCTAATGTAATCAGCCCAGCAAGTAGAATCACCGTGAGAGAACCACAAAACCCATTTCCCACAGAGATGGGAGATGTTACCAAGCACTGATGGCTGCCACCTGTATCAGAGCCTCACTTGAGTCTTCAAGGAGCATAATTATTTTAATTGCATAAACAGGCACATCCCTTTATTCTGAATCAGTGAATAGGAATGGCTGCTGGACACCTGTAGATGTGCCCAGCAATAAGGGTGCCACATGCCCACTCCCACCCTGACTCCAGGCATAGGGCGACTCAAGTCATTTGTCTTTCCGCAGGCCGAAACATCGTTGCTACCTAGTGGAAGGACAGGAATTGGTGGTGTTGGTGGTGGCGGCAGTGGTGGCGGCGGCGGCGGTGGTGGCAGCAGTGGGGGCAGTGCTGAGGGTTTCTCTTGCTGCTCTGAGTCTAGTTTGATTTAACTTCTTGTCAACAACTTCTAGTTTTAATTAAATTCCCAGGGGTAGAGAGGTCTCAGAAAACCAGTTGATTTTCTACTAATTCATTTCATTTGGTTTTGTCTGCTTGGGATGATAATATATGGAGCCAAGGTAGGCACTGTCACCACCTCCATAATGTACTGTTTCCTGGGAATGATGAAAAATCTTCAATATAGCCCTCACAGCCCTTTGGAAAGGCTGCTGCATGGACCCTGAGTCCTGTTCCAGAGATGTCTGGCAGCACTGCCACTAAACTGGGAGCAAAATCGGACCCTTTCGTATCTTTGGTTTGCTGGTTGTAGTCTAAGAGTAGGCTCTTTTCAATGAGAACTTGGAAACTTTGGGAAAAGATGGTTTCTATCTAAAGCCCAAGACAAGATAGGATTTTAGTGAGCTGGTGTATCACTCTGGGATGCCACTAGGTGGCAAGCCATCAGATTGCTTCTCAGTTCTCCGACCATTGTGTTGATGGGTTTAGGACTGTGGTTTAGCCTCCCAGAGAGGCTTGCGTTTTTAACTAGGGGAGTTTAGGAGAACATTTTTCATTCATAAATATTTCAGGATACCCTGCACTTGTCACTTCCCTTTAGGATCTTAACTATTTTTCAGTGTGATCACTTGTATTTTTCATCAAAATTGAACCAGAATCTTCAAGCCCTGCATTGGTGGGTAGAGCCACTATATCTGGGTTCCTTGCCTGCTTAGTGCTGCTACAGGGGATCCTTTTTCTGGCAGAAGGGCTGGGGGTGGTTATAAAGCTGAGGGGCAACCTGCAGAGAAGCCTTTTGAGGCTAATTGTAATCAGTCTCCCAAGCTGATGAGATAATCCTCTGGGAAACTTCAGACAAAGGCTTGTGATGAAAGCTCAGAATTTACTATTGATCTGGTACCCATTTATAGGGAGGCTTCTGCAGGCTCAGAAATGAGCAGGTGTACACAGAGAGGAATCAGCCTTAGGGCCTGTGTTGGGGCCAGATGACTACCGGAGGGTAAGGCCCTGAGTTATCCCTGCCTTCTGCTGTGAGCCTGGCCTGACCTGGCTGTAAGACCATAGATTTGCAGGCTAGATTGATTGCCAGGCAAGCAACAATGGCCCCAGTGTCTAGAGTCCCTTTGCAGGTAGGCATGGCCTTGATCTCAGCCTACCCCAGTTAAACCAGAAATGTTCCAAGCAGAAGGGTGGAGGTAATGAGTCAGGAGGGTGGAGACCTAGAAGGGGTGGCATTCCCAGGATCTTAATTTATCCAACTCAGTAAACAATTTCCCACAACTCTGGAAAAGGGACTGATAATGCTTTATGAAGGGTCTGAACTGGTTTTGGTAAATAGGAAAGCATTTGGTTTTATGCCCAAAAGACCAAGTGCGTACACCCCCCACTGAAGGAGTAGATTGTGATACATATGAGCAGGTGGCTAGAAGCCTGTGTGTTTTTTTATCTCTGTCTCTGTAACAGAACAGAGGAGCTTTTTATTTAGGGGTTCTGTGGTCTACATCCTTTGACTCCAACATTTGTGGTCTAGTGGTAAGTCCCAAGACCAGAGCACCCATTCATTTCCTTGAGGCAAAAGGTAAACCCAAGGAAAGTAAATCTGACTAACATTAGAATGTAAACCAAGCTTGCCAAATTACAGATTCAAGGAGAGTACAGGGAAGCATAGTAGTTAAGGGCCAGGCTGCCTGGGTTAGAATTTTAGCTTACCAGGCACACTCATCATGTGGCGTTGGACAAATTACATAACTTCTGATTCAGTTTTCTTATTTCTAGAATGGAGTCAATATCTCCTAGGGTTGTTGTGAACATTAAATGAGTTAATACCCCTAAAGTGCTAAGAGTGGTGTCTAGTTCATACTAAACATTCAAAAAATGGTAAACTTTCCCTTCTTGTAAAGTGAGAGAGTTAGACTATCTGAAGTCTCACAGTGTCATCCTGCAGGTCAAATCCCACCTGTGAGATTTTTGTTTCATATAGGGATGTTTCTTTTTTTAGGTGGACCTTAAGTCAGGGCTGGAAAGTTTGCTTGCTACAGCCTCCATCATTCTCTATTAGTTGTATGTTGCCTTTTGTTCAGATACATGTAGTAACCTTACTGACCCTGGTAGGCATTTGGGTTTTCATCTTCTGAGGATGGTCTCTAAGGCCCTTTCCAGGTCTACGTTTCTGTCTAAATTCCTTGGAAAGAGTCCTTGGGCTGTGAGTGCCCCAGTAGTGAAGTGGAATCCTCATTTCTCTTTGTCTTCACCCATCAGCAGAATATGGGGGCTCTAGCTTTCTTATGTTACTTGAAGCATTGTGCTCCATCCCCTGCCCTGAATAATTCCCCTCCATTTTCCCAGCCTCCTCCCCAGAGTCACTGCACAACTATGGCACCATCCAGATACAGGAGAGCTTAATGGGCTCATGAGTCTCTAAACCTTCCTCTATGTCTGACTGCTGGCTCTTCTGAAAGATAGGGTGTGTGTGTGTGTGTGTGTGTGTGGGTGTGAAGGCATTTAAAAATACGTAAAAATGTCCACATTAACCCAATGTCAAAAAATAACAAATTAATGGGGTATGATTTTATAGATGGACTAATTTAGACAGTTGGACCTGGGAAGCTCTATAAACTGTCCCCCAAGGCTGTAGAAGAGTTAATGCATTAGTCCCAGAGAAAGTAGTCACACCCAGGAGGATGTGCCCACTGCATTCAGGGAAACATAAACATTTTGAGCATAAGTATCTCTGACTGGTTTTGTGTACACAGAAATCTCTGTAGATGTATTTTTAAGCATTTAAAACATGGGACTTAATATTGATTGCTTAGTGTTTAAATTAAAAACAGGTTGTGTTTTGCTGGCTGTGCAGAGTAAAAACTTGGTCCCTGGTGACTTGATTATTTCACCATAAACAAGCTGCTTTTCTTGGCTTGATGCCTGAGTCCAGCAGAGGCAGGGAACAACGAGGTTGCTATGGCAGTAAGGGAGTCTCTCTTGGGGACTTTAAAGGGGATTCTGCTGGCTCACAGTGGTAAGGAAAGAATATGTAATTAGAGAGGCAAAATTTTATGTAACAGTGTAGTCTGATTATTTTAGAATTCAGTCTTTTACCTGTATTACCAAGTGAGATTTCTTTTAGTGTTATACAAATGGGGTGGGCACTGCCATGGGCCTTCACACAGGTTTTGCATTGCCTAGAATCCTCCTGCCTTTCTGGCCTGACCAGCTCTGCTCATCCCAGGTTTGAGGTCTCCTGTAACCCTGAACACTAATTGACACTCTGTGCCCCTCTCCCGCCCCCACCTTACTGTTTGCTATCTATCGTGAAACTCCCCTACCTCATTGGATCTGCTGGCTTTGGGTCTGCATCTGCCTCACTCCGTCTCTGGGTGTCTGGTAGCTGGTGTAAGGCTTCCAGATGGGGTGAGGGTCAGAAGGCTTTCATACGTGATTTCATAGAGTCCATGCTGAAACCACTGGCTTCTTACCTTTCTGGTCCTTTATTGTTAAAATAAAATGATTACTATAATGTTTACTTATCTCACATACATATTAAGAATTTGTTTGTATTAAGCCAAAACTCTCAGAAACGTCCTACTAAACACTTCAGTGTTTTTAGGGTGGCTAATGTTGAATCCCGTTAGTTTTGTTGAGGTTATTGGTCATAAATATCAAGAAGCCAAAAAGGAGAAAAAAGTTTTTTTCTTGAAAAACACCAAATAAAGGAGGTAACCTACTATTTATGAGCCAATAATCTTTCTTTCTCTTCAGTACAGTGATATCTAAAGTTTATGACAAAGCTTTGACGTACTGTCATACATGTCTTTTAAGTCATTCCAGAAAGGTTATTGTGCTTACATTGTGGTTTTTATATTGAAAGTATCCTAGCGCATTCTAAAGCTGTGAAACTAGAGGTGGTACGTATGACGAAACCCCTCTGTAACACAGACTGCTTCATTCCGTAGGGCTCTCTGCTTCCTGGGCCTGGCAGACAAGTGTATTTATTATACTCTGAAGATATGAGAGTTTATTATTATTGGCTGAGGTTCACATTACCATCACTTTCCTGTTTCTCTTTGGCTAAAGATGGCTTCTGTTAGAAACTATTGGGAAATCCCATCACACACACTAACAAATCCAGGTCCTAGTGCTGGTCTGTTTCATTACGTGTGTCTGGAGGCAGGAAAGGTAGCAGATGCCATTCTCGTCTCATCTCAGTGACTTTCTATCAAGCAGCTGGCTCTTCCAGCATTCTACAGGGAAACTGGAATAAAGCCTTGCCTCTTTGCTTTTTGCACTTAGACTCACCCAGGTTTTTTGTTTCTGTTTTGTATAGTTCAGCCAATGCTACCCCTGACTTTGAAGGTCGAGGAGGTGATGACCTTGGCACAGAGATCGCCAACACCCTCTATCGGATATTTAGCAATAAGAGCAGTGTCGACCTGAAGACCCTCTGCATTAGTCCTCGGGAGCACTGCTGGGTTCTCTATGTGGATGTACTGGTGAGTATCACCTTGCTGTACTGGCCATATTCTACCTTTGTTGGAGACTAGTTTGCCTACTTTCCTTCTAGTGCTTTTTTCCTCTTGAGGTGAGTGGTTTCAACTTACAGGGTGAGATTAGTTGGGAAAATATGGTCTCCTATAATAATTTTTTAAAAAGTTAAATACAACATAGATGTAAGCAGCATATATATAATGCCATTCTATAGTAAAATTATAGTAATACAATGGTAGCACCTAAAATTGCCCATAAAAGTTGTCAGGGAAGAATGAAACAAGAGGTGGTCTCTGGGTTGTGCCAGACGGAGCTGATGGGCAGAATTTAGACAGGTTGGTACATTGTGTGTGGAAGGATGATCAGCTCTTTACGTGCATTTTCATTTAAACCATATAAACCTGTTGCAAAAGGTCAGTGTTATATTCGCCATTTATAAGTTAGGAAACTAAGACATAGGGATGTTAAGTAACTAGCCCAGGAGGTCTCAGCTTGCTAGTAGTGCTGTTGGTTATCAAAGTCAGGTCTGTATGATGTGAATACCTTCTTTGACCTCACTGTGCCATTGCTTTTTAAACAGCTCCGAGCCTGCTTGCCCCTGGTTTCCTGGGTGAGGCTACAGAGGCCTTGCTTCCTCCCACACAGAGCCCACTCCCTTAGGGATCTTTTTAGTCCAGCCTTTCCTTTCCTCCCTTGTACTTTGCCTCCCAAATACTCCTCTACCCGGGTTTTGGCACTCAATAGTAACTTCTCTGTGTAGCTCTAATTAATTATTTTGTTGTTGTTGTTTTTGAGATGGAGTCTTGCTCTGTCGCCCAGGCTGGAGTGCATTGGCGCGATCTCAGCCCACTGCAACCTCTGCTTCTGAAGTTCAAGCGATTTCATGCCTCAGCTTCCCAAGTAGCTGGGATTACAGGCATGTGTCACCATGCCCAGCTAATTTTCGTATTATTAGTAGAGATGGGGTTTTATCATGTTGCCTAGGCTTGTCTGGAACTCCTGACGTCAAGTGATCTGCCAGGCTTAATTTTGCTTTTGTATAATACTGTAGCAGTTGGTTGCTTGTTTATGTACAGGCTCTTGTTGGGTCTGTTTTATTCCTTTTTGTTAAATTTTGTGAGCCTTGAGATTGGCAACTACATCTTCCACTTCAGATTAAGGACACAAAGCTAAGCCGTTGGCCAAATAGATTCTTTAATGAATGTGCAGATAAAGGAGATTTGTGAACTGACGGTGAACTTCATTGAAAGAAACAGCCTGGCTCTGCATGTTGGCTCTACTAAAACAGGGTGGAGCTTTCTAGATTTTTCTAATTAATTTGATATTGGATGGAGTATACTCAAAAAGTAGCAGTGGTAACCATTATCTAGCAAGTAACTATTGCAATGCTACCACTAATAGGTAAAAGTAATGAAATTACAGATGTTTGCTTTTTTCCATCTCTGATAAGTGGGATGTACCTTGTAGTATGATTCCTGCCAAGCAGGCAGTTTTAGGTCCTGGTTTTGAGGAGGTGGGAACTGGCAACCTATAGTCCTTACTGAGGACGGTAGAGGCAGGCTTCATAGTTGCCCAGGGAGGTGCAGCCCTGTGACGTGAACTCTGGAGTTCCATCCTGTGTCTGAAGAACATTATGTCCCGTTCCCTTCCCCACTAGAAAAAGTTAAGACACGAGTGTTGCGGCACACTGCATTTGTTCATGATGCTAATGTGTTCATCCTCAGTATTCATGCACACTGGTACTTTTGTGGGATGGCCCAGTGATGGGGATGGAGGTGCTTTTGATTCAGTCAAACTCAAAGCAACAGAAGCCTGTTCTGTTAGTAAAGGCTTTTACAAAACTGATGAATATTGGGACAATATCTCAGCTCAGAAGCAGTCCTCTTCAGTGAGCAGGGGATGCATGGTGTGCAGGAGTATCCAGGGGAATGTGCACTGTGTCCCTGTCATCCGTAGACCTTTCTTTTTTTAAGACTCCTGGCATTTGGATTTCTTCTGAAATATTTTTTAAAGTGTCTTGTTTATTTTGGAAGAACACATGAGCTTTTAAAATGTTGTCATTTTCTGACTGGGTGCGGTGGCTCACACCTCTAATCCCAGCACTTTGGGAGGCCAAGGTGGCTAGACCACCTCAGGTCAGGAGTTTGAGACCAGCCTGGCCAACATGGTGAAACCCCTTCTCTACTAAAAATACAAAAATTTGCCAGGCATGGTGGCGGGCACCTGTCATCCCAGCTATTGGGGAGGCTGAGGCAGGAGAATCAGTGGAACCTGGGAGGCAGAGGTTGTAGAGAGCTGAGATGGCACCATTGCACTCTATCCTGGGTGACAGAGTGAGACTCCATCTCAAAAAAAAAAAAAAAAAAAGAAAAAAGTTGCCATCTTCAGGAAAGTTTTTAATGAATTAGAAAAGCATTTTTGAAAATTATATTATTAATGAGGTAGATCCATTTTTGGCATTCACATAGTTTTCATCAGTAGAGGGGTTCTTCTTCCATGAAAGCCATGATGGGAATGTGCTTTCTGTGTGTGAGGTAGGGGACAGACTTTTGTTTAGGGATTAAGTTTTTATCCCAAACCTGAAGATGTACTGAATAGATTGAGTTCATGTTTGAAGCAAGGTGGTAGAAATCTTTGAAACAAGGTAGTGGAAAAGAAATCTAATTTCTTTTTAGCAACTGGTCTAGGTAGTCCTCAGAGCCCATGTTCAGACAGTTATTAGCTGGGCACCCTGCTGTGTTTTCATACTTATTTACTTCAAACCTATTACAGTCAGGTGACCCATCCGTTTCCAGTATTGTGTTTTTCCCCAGTTGGGTTATTTTATGAGAGTGAAAGTTTCACAGAAATTTCACTTTGCTTTGCTCTTTGTAGTTCTTTAATGGCATCAGTTTTTGCCCCAGGTGGGATAACTGTTAGAACTTTCTTGCACTAACAACACACAGTTGACCTTTGGTGGGGAAATTGGTCACAAGGCTGACTTTTGATGGGCTCCTTCGCAAATAATCACTAACCTTCTTCATAGCACCCCTTCTGCTGGGCTCTGGGGATAAAGGGGTGAACAAAACTACAGAATCCCAGCCTTTAGGAGTTCACAGTTCAAATGAAGAGGAGATACACTCTAAACAAAAACAGAAATACGTGACTTTTCTTTCTACATGTGACTTCTCACCTTATTTGGGACAGCCCAGTTGGCTTTATTCCGTAACCTCAGGCCAAGGCCTCTCTAAAATGAGGACAGAAGGATATGGCACCTTCCACTTAAATATGCTCTAACCTTGCTTGCTAGATGAGCACACGTAAGTGTACTCCACACTTTTGCTCATGGGCAGAAGCTTGTCCGAGAGACCTTAGTCTTCATTGTAAGTAATGTAAAACATGTAGTATTTCATGTCTGAGCATCAGGTATACATTGATTATTATATATAAGAGGTAATTCCACTAGTAAATGTGAACCTGGTAGCAGCTGAAGCATCAGTAGCCACCGTTCACTCCTTGTTTGGAGGCCAGCATATGTTAGCAAAGACTGGAGTAACACTTGGAGCACAATTGGGAGCCATTTGGGGCAAAATAAAAGTGATCAGTCCCACCTTCAGGGCAGGCCCACCTGCCTGGAGTGCCTGTGGGAGGAGCCCACCACAAGCCACAGCCTCTGACTGTTGATACCACAGCCCCGGCCAACCGTGACCTTGTGTGCATGGACCACGTAAGCACAGCCATGACAAGGCAGTGCCTGTAATTAGGGTGAAGGACTGTGTCAGGAAGCTGCAAGTCACTGCATGGGTAGCCAGGAGAGCAGCCACATGTTATCTTTATTTGATTAACACACAGTCAGCATTTCTTAGAAATCAGTGTCCTTGACCACAGAATAGATTTAGGGAAAGAAAAAAAAATCAGTGTCCTGGCCCGGTGCAGTGGCTTATGCCTATAACTGTGGCACTTTGTGAGACTGAGGCAGGTGGATCACTTGAGGTCAGGGGTACAAGACCAGCCTGGCCAACATGGTGAAACTAGTCTCTACTAAAAGTATAAAAATTAGCGGGGGGGTGGTTGTGCACGTCTATCATCCCAGCTACTCAGGAGGCCGAGGCAGGAGAATTGCTTCAACCTGGGAGGCAGAGGTTGCAGTGAGCCAAGATTGCACCACTGTACTCCAGCCTGGGCAACAGAGAGAGACTGTGTCAAAAAAAAAAAGCAGTGTCCTTTAACTGGGGTAGTGTTTAAAGTAACGAATGATATTTGTTTTTCTTCCTTCTTCAATTCCTGTCTCCCTTAGCTGCTGGAATGTGATGGAAATTTGTTTGATGCCATTTCCATTGCTGTAAAGGCTGCTCTCTTCAATACAAGGTATGTCTTCCTGGAAACAGCTCTGCAAACCTGTGGAGAACCAGAGCAAACACTTGTAATTGAACACTGAGGAAAATTCTACTGTAGCTCATATGTGAAGATAACAGGGAGTTTTAACATTGAAAATGGTGCTATCTAATGTTAAACTCCAGAAAAGATATATTCTATATTTATTTTTTGTATTGTTATAAATAGACACCTACCATACAGAAAAGCCAAAAAGAGTAGACACCACCTACAGGCCAACTGTCCAAATAGTATTACTGAGTGAACTCTATGGGGACAAGGATTTTGCCGTTTTGTACTTGTCTATATTCCTAGCACCATGAACAGTGCCTGACACGTAGTAAATGCTTGCATATTGCTTGATTGTACACGTGTATGTTCTAAAAACAGGGTAACAGCCTGCCCTTTGGTTTAAGAAGAGGAAATGGTTATTCTGCGTGGTTCAGCTTTCCAAACAGGTTGTGTAGAAGGGACAAATTGCTAAGGTTTTTAGGAGCTGACATTCGTTCTGACTGTTTGATTACTAACCTTTCCCCTTCTATGCTCCAAGTACTTTGAGGAAAATTTGCAGCATTTATGAATAAATACGTGAGATAGGGTGTTCATCCCATGAGAGAGCCTACATTAAGGTAACAGAGGATCCTATTTAAAAAATGAGGATTAGAAATCTCTAGGGATATAACCTAAGGACGTAACTGAATAAATGAACAAAGACATTTATTCTAGGATGTTCATCACAGCTGCTTTGTAATGGTAAGAAACTGGAAACAATCTGAGTGTTAGCAACGTAGGGGATTGAAGTCCACAATTGATTAGCAGCCTACTTAAAGGCATGTTAATATGGAAAATCATTCACTAAATGCAGTCCACTCAACCTGGTTTTTGTTTGTGTGTTGTATTTTACTTTACTGGTTCTTATATTTAATATGCTGGAAATAAATATATATCCCCAAGTGGTCATTGTAATTATTTTTCAGTGCTCATATTTTGGCCGACTTAACATTTATCTGTTTTTTTTTTTTAGAGTTTTTCTATGGTGAATATAGACTACCTGTGTAATTTAGAGTGGACAAAGACAAATTGCAGGTGAAATATTTCCTGAGAATGAAAGCTGTAGAGTCCCCTATCCCTAGCTGTACCACATAGACTCCTTGTTGAGACTATTTGAAATGTGAGCCTGGCACTCGTGGCCACTGTGGGAGCTTGCGTGCCAGATCCCATCAGCAGTGGCTGGTGCTTGGGCCCTGCTGGGGAAGGAGAGGAAGTTGTCATCTGATATATTTCGAGCCTCAGATGACTCCCCATCTGCCAGCTGGTTCCTATAGGCACAGGGTAGAAGGAGAGACTGGGAACCTGACAAGGCTGTTTAGCTGTGGTGGAGGTGCTGGGCAAACTGTATACCAGGAAGATTAATCTAGCTGCTCAGGTATAAGCTTGTATTTTATGGTTTTTGTATTCCCTGTGGATGTGGGTCTCCTCTAATCCCAATCACACCTGTCATGGGCACAGCCATAGTCTCATCCTCAGACCAACAACAGCCCTGCAGGAAGCAAGGAATGGGAACCCTGAATCCTCCTGGTATGTGGAGAGACTGTTGGTATATTCAAGGTCCTTTAGAAGGGTAAAGGCCACCTGAGGGTATTTTTTAGCCCTACTGCCCAGTCATGTTATAGCCAAAGGGCTGGGAAATTGAAAGATAATCTGTGTCTGGGTGTGTAAGCGAGTAAATGGTTGCGACTTATTCAAATAGGATATTAGTTGGTACTTGAGAACTTCCCCTAATGGGAAGGCTCCAACTAGGGAAGACCATTGCAGAACTCCTTGGCCCTTGTAGACATTCTCTGGCTGAAGCTCCCCTGATCTGATCTAGCTGCTGCCTTGTGTGTGGATGGCCAGCAGGGCTCAGTCATGGGGGCTTTTGTTAGAGCAACTGGGAAAAGTACCAATGCGGCTTCCATTACAGTAGCTGGATGGACCACCTCTTCCTTCCTGGCTCCTCCACCCCAGCCTGGAGTAAATTGACTTTATAAGTTAAATGTATTTTTCAGCACCCAGCTGAAGAAACAGAATGTTGCCAGCACCCTAGAGGCATGCCCCACCTTCTGTACCCCCATGCAGTTACATTCACTGATGATAACCAGCATCTTAAAAGGATAGATTACTTGTGTACTAGATATAAATAGTATTATATACTATGTTCTCTTTTTGTGTCTGCCTCATTCACTGAGCATTGTGTTTTAAGAGATCTGTGTCACTGCCTTAGTCATAGCTTGCTTTTTGCTGTATGGTGTTTCCTTGTGTGACTTTGTCCAGTCTGCTTTTTATCCAGTCTACTGTTTATGGGCATCTGGTTCGTTTCGAGTTTGAGGCTACCACAAATACGGATGCGCATCATGAACATGTTTGTGCATGTCTTTGGTAC